ATGGAGAATATAATACTCGAAACGTTAAACCTACATTACGGCGAAAAAATCAAAAAAATCATTTCATCAAATCAAAATCATACATTACGGCCGAACCGACGTTACCGGGGAAGTTGGAACGACACGCCTCGAGTCGCCGAAGAGACATAACCGGGGGACTTTACGCGTACGGCTCGGATCACCGAACCGACCTGACCGGAGAATTCGGAACGACGCGAGTCGAACGGCCGAACCGACCTGACCGGAGAATTCGGAACGACGCGAGTCGAACGGCCGAACCGACTTGACCGGAGAATTCGGAACGACGCGAGTCGTACGGCCGAACCGACCTGACCGGAGAATTCGGAACGACGCGGGTCGTATGGCCGAACCGACGTTACCGGGGAAGTTGGAACGACACGCCTCGAGTCGCCGAAGCGACATAACCGGGGGACTTTACGCGTACGGCTCGGATCACCGAACCGACCTGACCGGAGAATTCCGAACGACGCGAGTCGAACGGCCGAACCGACCTCCCCGATGTACTAGAAGCTATACGAGTGAAACGGCCGAACCGACCTGACCGGAGAATTCGGAACGACGCGAGTCGAACGGCCGAACCGACCTGACCGGAGAATTCGGAACGACGCGAGTCGAACGGCCGAACCGACCTGACCGGAGAATTCGGAACGACGCGAGTGAAACGGCCGAACCGACCTGACCGGAGAATTCGGAACGACGCGAGTCGAACGGCCGAACCGACCTCACCGGAGAATTCGGAACGACACGCCTCGAGTCGCCGAAGAGACATAACCGATGTACTTTACGCGTACGGCTCGGATCACCGAACCGACCTGACCGGAGAATTCCGAACGACGCGAGTCGAACGGCCGAACCGACCTCACCGATGTACTAGAAGCTATACGAGTGAAACGGCCGAACCGACTTGACCGGAGAATTCGGAACGACGCGAGTCGTACGGCCGAACCGACCTGATCGGAGAATTCGGAACGACGCGGGTCGTATGGCCGAACCGACGTTACCGGGGAAGTTGGAACGACACGCCTCGAGTCGCCGAAGCGACATAACCGGGGGACTTTACGCGTACGGCTCGGATCACCGAACCGACCTGACCGGAGAATTCCGAACGACGCGAGTCGAACGGCCGAACCGACCTGACCGGAGAATTCGGAACGACGCGAGTCGAACGGCCGAACCGACCTGACCGGAGAATTCCGTACGATGCGAATCGAACGGCCGAACCGACGTTACCGGAGAAGTTGGAACGACGCGCCTCGAATCGCTGAAGCGACATGACCGGGGGACTTTACGCGTACGGCTCGGATCACCGAACCGACATGACTCGGGTATTTTTCCTTAAATTTCTCGAAAAATAATTTTATGAAGCTTATGTTTTTTTTTCATTAATCACCTTATTTTTATCCCTCGAAATTTTTTATATTGTTAATTTTTTCTTTTATTTCATTAAAATATGATTTTTCGTCATTTTTCTTATCGATAAAAAAAAACTTAATTTTTTTGAAAAAATCTTTTACCGATCTTTTATTTATACCGTTCTGTCAACATATCTTTAATTTTTTTATATTATTTTGCATAATGATCGATCGTCGGTCAGCGTCAAAGTTCCACCGTACCGTCCGCTCGGTCTGTTGCTACAGCGGTTTTGCACCGTAAGCGGCCGTGCATTAGCCGACTCGGCGCCGACGTGGTGGCCGACCGTTCGGTTACTGTAAGAGAAGCGACGGTCCGGTTCGGTCGGACGGAACAGCGTCGGGCGCGTGGCTATTCTACGATCTCGGTTGAGAATCAGTCCACCGCTCCTCGGGGAAAATATAATAATATTTTTTCTCGACTGTTTCCGTCCGTTCCTATACCGTTTTTTTTTTTTCTCCACACTGCAGAGCCGCGGGTCGGTGTCTATGACCGAATGACTCTTGTGCGGCAAAGCGACCTATAGGGGGACGCTGGTGACCTGTATGCATGGCGCTTGCCATGTGTACTTGTACGACTGAGCATCAACTTTTAGCCTCGAGCGATCGGGCCTTTTCTAACACATAAGGGATATTATAAATCCTAGAGCGTACGAACGTGTCGAATAGTTATTGTTGACTTGCAATACGGCGCGTTTCGTATGATGAGCTTTGAGTTTGTAAAAGAGAAGTTATAAAAGAAATGAAATAACGCAATATTATATTTATTTATATGATATTGTGAAGTATGATTTTTTTTTAAAATTATTTGATGATTGGGGCATATTAAGGAAAGAAGTGCTTGTTTTTAACATTGGGATATGCCTCAGCGTGAATTATAAATACGCGCTTTGAAGTTAGCCAAATGTTTAGCATGTTTGATACGTGCTTTCTTTATATTTTATAAAGACCTATTAATTATAGTCGATCGGTGAGGGGGCACCGACGACGAAAAATATAAAATGTATATATATATATATATATAAAATGCCCAGTGGGCAAAAATATTAATAATATATATATAACGAAGATCCCTGGTTGATCCTGCCAGTAGTCATATGCTTGTCTCAAAGATTAAGCCATGCATGTCTCAGTACATGCCGAATTAAGGTGAAACCGCGAATGGCTCATTAAATCAGTTATGGTTCATTAGATCGTGGACACATTTACTTGGATAACTGTGGTAATTCTAGAGCTAATACATGCAAACAGAATTCCTCTCAGAGATGGGAGGAATGCTTTTATTAGATCAAAACCAATCGGTGGCGGACGGCTCGTCCGTTCGTCCATCGTTTGTTTTGGTGACTCTGAATAACTTTGTGCTGATCGCATGGTCATCTAGCACCGGCGACGCATCTTTCAAATGTCTGCCTTATCAACTGTCGATGGTAGGTTCTGCGCCTACCATGGTTGTAACGGGTAACGGGGAATCAGGGTTCGATTCCGGAGAGGGAGCCTGAGAAACAGCTACCACATCCAAGGAAGGCAGCAGGCGCGCAAATTACCCACTCCCGGCACGGGGAGGTAGTGACGAAAAATAACGATACGGGACTCATCCGAGGCCCCGTAATCGGAATGAGTACACTTTAAATCCTTTAACGAGGACCAATTGGAGGGCAAGTCTGGTGCCAGCAGCCGCGGTAATTCCAGCTCCAATAGCGTATATTAAAGTTGTTGCGGTTAAAAAGCTCGTAGTTGAATCTGTGTGTCACAGTGTCGGTTCACCGCTCGCGGTGTTTAACTGGCATTATGTGGTACGTCCTATCGGTGGGCTTAGCTCCTTGCGGGCGGTCCAACTAATATCCCATCGCGGTGCTCTTCACTGAGTGTCGAGGTGGGCCGATACGTTTACTTGAAAAAATTAGAGTGCTTAAAGCAGGCTACCTTTGCCTGAATACTGTGTGCATGGAATAATGGAATAGGACCTCGGTTCTATTTTGTTGGTTTTCGGAACCCCGAGGTAATGATTAATAGGGACAGATGGGGGCATTCGTATTGCGACGTTAGAGGTGAAATTCTTGGATCGTCGCAAGACGGACAGAAGCGAAAGCATTTGCCAAAAATGTTTTCATTAATCAAGAACGAAAGTTAGAGGTTCGAAGGCGATCAGATACCGCCCTAGTTCTAACCATAAACGATGCCAGCCAGCGATCCGCCGAAGTTCCTCCGATGACTCGGCGGCAGCTTCCGGGAAACCAAGCTTTTGGTTCCGGGGGAAGTATGGTTGCAAAGCTGAAACTTAAAGGAATTGACGGAAGGGCACCACCAGGAGTGGAGCCTGCGGCTTAATTTGACTCAACACGGGAAACCTCACCAGGCCCGGACACCGGAAGGATTGACAGATTGATAGCTCTTTCTTGATTCGGTGGGTGGTGGTGCATGGCCGTTCTTAGTTGGTGGAGCGATTTGTCTGGTTAATTCCGATAACGAACGAGACTCTAGCCTGCTAAATAGACGTAACTTATGGTATCTCGAAGGCCCTCGGCTTCGGTCGGTGGGTTTTTACTACCAACGTACAAACAAATCTTCTTAGAGGAACAGGCGGCTTCTAGCCGCACGAGATTGAGCAATAACAGGTCTGTGATGCCCTTAGATGTTCTGGGCCGCACGCGCGCTACACTGAAGGAATCAGCGTGTTTTCCCTGGCCGAAAGGCCCGGGTAACCCGCTGAACCTCCTTCGTGCTAGGGATTGGGGCTTGCAATTATTCCCCATGAACGAGGAATTCCCAGTAAGCGCGAGTCATAAGCTCGCGTTGATTACGTCCCTGCCCTTTGTACACACCGCCCGTCGCTACTACCGATTGAATGATTTAGTGAGGTCTTCGGACTGGTGCGCGGCCAATGTCTCGGCATTGCCGATGTTACCGGGAAGATGACCAAACTTGATCATTTAGAGGAAGTAAAAGTCGTAACAAGGTTTCCGTAGGTGAACCTGCGGAAGGATCATTAACGAATGAAACATACAAAAAGAGATATGCGAAGGATTTAAAATATAAAATTTGGATGAATCCATTACCAAATATCAAAACTTTGTATATATCGAACGAATATGATAAAACCACGGAGGACACACGATGGCTTACGTGAGAAGGGAAAGGAAAAAAAAGAATCCCTTCCGTCCGTTGTTTGTTTATCCGTTTGGTTTTTTTTATTCTCGAATTTTCACCAGGCATATGAAAATTACACGAAGAGAGAAATTCTCTCTCTCTTCTACGAGAGAGAGAGAGAGAGAGAGAGAGAGAGATATAATAAACGAATAAATACAGAGAGGCGCTTGCGAGAAGGTACGTTTAAAATAAAAGACCCGCCGCTTCGATGAGATGAATGTTATGGTGCTCAAAGATACAAAGGGACGCTTGCGTGAGATCGTCGCCGTATAACTTATACGTACGATCCGCCGTCTCGATGACGTATATTTTTAATAAAGATTTATTTACGGGGTAACCTGCACGTACGTGTACGTATTACATATGTATGCATATGTACAATATATATATATATATA